TTACACCTAGCCTCTATCACTGCACCTTTAGCTTGACTTTCTTCAGAGAATTCTTACCTGCCTTGGAAACAAGGAGTTCTGCCTGAAGTTGGTTAGGTCCAGTAAATTCTTACCTGCCCTGGAAACAGTGAGTACTGCTTGAATGAGGTCAGTTAGGTCCAGTGAATTCTTACCTGCCCTGGAAACAGTGAGTACTGCTTGAATGAGGTCGGTTAGGTCCAGTGAATTCTTACCTGCCCTGGAAACAGTGAGTACTGCTTGAATGAGGTCGGTTAGGTCCAGTGAATTCTTACCTGCCCTGGAAACAGTGAGTACTGCTTGAATGAGGTCGGTTAGGTCCAGTGAATTCTTACCTGCCCTGGAAACAGTGAGTACTGCTTGAATGAGGTCAGTTAGGTCCAGTGAATTCTTACCTGCCCTAGAAACAGTGAGTACTGCTTGAATGAGGTCGGTTAGGTCCAGTGAATTCTTACCTGCCCTGGAAACAGTGAGTACTGCTTGAGGTCGGTTAGGTCCAGAGAATTCTTACCTGCCCTGGAAACAGTGAGTACTGCTTGAATGAGGTCGGTTAGGTCCAGTGAATTCTTACCTGCCCTGGAAACACTGAGTACTGCTTGAGGTCGGTTAGGTCCAGAGAATTCTTACCTGCCCTGGAAACAAGGAGTACTGCTTGAGGTCGGTTAGGTCCAGTGAATTCTTACCTGCCCTGGAAACAGTGAGTACTGCTTGAGGTCGGTTAGGTCCAGAGAATTCTTACCTGCCCTGGAAACAAGGAGTACTGCTTGAGGTCGGTTAGGTCCAGTGAATTCTTACCTGCCCTGGAAACAAGGAGTACTGCTTGAGGTCGGTTAGGTCCAGTGAATTCTTACCTGCCCTGGAAACAAGGAGTACTGCTTGAGGTCGGTTAGGTCCAGTGAATTCTTACCTGCCCTGGAAACAGTGAGTACTGCTTGAGGTCGGTTAGGTCCAGTGAATTCTTACCCGCCCTGGAAACAAGGAATACTGCTTGAGGTCGGTTAGGTCCAGTGAATTCTTACCTGCCCTGGAAACAGTGAGTACTGCTTGAATGAGGTCGGTTAGGTCCAGTGAATTCTTACCTGCCCTGGAAACAGTGAGTACTGCTTGAATGAGGTCGGTTAGGTCCAGTGAATTCTTACCTGCCCTGGAAACAGTGAGTACTGCTTGAATGAGGTCGGTTAGGTCCAGTGAATTCTTACCTGCCCTGGAAACAGTGAGTACTGCTTGAACTAGAACTGTCCAATAGGGACAAATACCCCCCGCTGGGTTTTTCAGAGAAGGTGCCAATTCAAAAATACTTTATGGATCTAGAGGTGTTCACAATTTACCAGGTATTTACAAAAATTCGCAGTGAAATATAATTGCTCATCATGTTTCTTAATGAATGAAACAAAGGTGCAACCAAATGAAACATCAATGCTAATACATTTAAATCCCCTGTAACATTATTTATTTTTTTTTTAATTTATTTTATTTTTGCATTAAAAAAATATATTGCAATTATGCGTTATGTCACCCTGCAAACTGATTGTTGAAAAAAAATCATATCATACAAAATCAAATTAATCTTGATAACTTTATATCAAATTCATTTGAAAATAAAAAGCTGGTCATTCAGTAATGAAGTGCTTTGACAGACAATAAATTACAATTAAGAGAATAAGAGAAGAGAGATCTTAAAATTCTTGTGCCTGATTCCCAGGAGATTACACATGGTTGATAATGAGATTCCTTAATGTTCAACTTCCAACACCAAACTCATTAATTTATCTTTAACTGGATGCATGTCCAGTCATTATTCCCAAGAGACAAATGAAAATACATTATCTTCTGTGCAATGTAAAAACTGTTTTTAACACTTGATGATGTTTCTTTTTTTTTTAAGTTTATATGAGTAGTTTTAAGCTGTAGTATTTTTGTACTGATATTCTACATTCTATATCTCAAACCTTAAACATGAGCCCAAAATGAACAAGTGAATTAAAATAAAAAATAAAACCTATAAAATGCAAAAAAATGAACCAAAAGAGTTAAAAATTCCAGTTGCACACCTTCAAATGGTGAATAATAAGTGTACAAACTTTCAGATTAATCCTTGCAATAGGTTCTGAGAAACGGCCCAGACAAAACCACAAAATAAAAACTAGAGATGTTCCTAATTTACTTACAAAAATTTGCAGTGAAATATAATTGCTCATCATGTTTCTTAATGAATGAAACGGAGGTGCAACCAAATGAAACATCAATACTAATACATTGTAATTCCATTGTAAGATTTTTTTTTTTCATTTAATTTTTTTTTATTACTGCATTAAAAAAATATATTGCAATTATGTGTTATGTCACTCTGCAAACTGATTGTTAAAAAAAAAAAACCATTATACAATATCAAATTATTATCTTGATATATCAATTTGAAATGCATTTTGAAAATAAAGAGCTGGTCATCCAGTAATGAAGTGTTTTGACAGACAATAAATTACAATTAAGAGAATAAGAGAAGAGAGATCTTTAATTCTTGTGCCTTATTCCCTGTAGATTTGATAACAAACAAACGCTTGATAAGAGATATGCCTAAACAACTTCCAACACCAAACTCATTAATTTATCTTTAACTGGATGCATGTCCAGTCATTATTCCCAAGAGACAAATGAAATTACATTATCTACTGTGCAATGTTAAAAATGTGTTTAACACTTGATGATGTTTCTTTTTTAAGTTTTTATGAGTAGTTTTAAGCTGTAGTTCACGTTTTTGTACAGATATTCTAGATTCTATGTCTCAAACCTTAAACATGAGCCCAAAATGAACAAGTCAATTAAAATTTTAAAAAACCTGTAAAATGCAGAAAAATGAACAAAAAGAGTTGAAAATTCCAGTTGCACACCTTCATATGGTGAATAATAAAAGTACAAATTTTCAGATTAATCCTTGCAATAGTTTCTGAGAAACGGTCCAGACAAAACCACAAAATAAAAATGAAAAAACACCTGTAAAATTCAAAATATTAATCCAATCAAGACGAAAAATATCAGGTGCACAACTTCATATGGTGAATAATATGTGTACAAATTTTCAGACAAATCCTTCCAATAGTTTCTGAGTAATGGTCCGGACAAAAATCTTGTCTACAGACAGACGGACAGACGGACATGGTGATTCCAATATACCCCCCCTAAACTTCGTTTGCGGGGGGTATAATGAGGTCGGTTAGGTCCAGTGAATTCTTACCTGCCCTGGAAACAGTGAGTACTGCTTGAGGTCGGTTAGGTCCAGTGAATTCTTACCTGCCCTGGAAACAGTGAGTACTGCTTGAGGTCGGTTAGGTCCAAAGGAATGAAGCAGCCAGCAGACGTCTCTCTGGAACCTTCCAGAATCACAGACTTGGCATTCAGCTTCCCAAGGCTATCACAGCAAATTCTCCCAACCAAAGTCACCTCTTCCTGTATGAAATGTATCAAAGGTCTACTTCTCAGTGTAATAATTGAGTCCTATGGGCTACAATGTACATGTTATCTTGGCCTTTTATTCATTTTTTTTCTAGAAAAATGTTCCTTTATTCCCAAAAAAGTTCTTACCCCAACTTGAAATAGAACTGTTCACAATGAACAAATACCCTCTTTGTTGGTTTTCCACATCATTAAAAGTATTTTTTGCACCTAAATTGTGTCTTTAATGTTCATATCGCTACTCAAAATTTAAAAGTCACAAAATATTTTCTGAATCTTGTCACCTCTAGGGATGAGCATTGATCCCTCCAAAATTTTGATTTTTACAACATAAAGTATCTAAATTCAAATTACATGGAGTATCCCCTCCCCTAAATTGTATTCATTTACAATAAAGAAAATGCACTTGTAAATTTATTACATTCTCTTAATTATGTACTGATAATTTATCTAGTTAATCCTGCATACTACAATTATTAATCTACAGTCAATTCTCGAATTATCGCCATTCGATTCATCGCCATTTTCGCAATACCGCCATGATTTCCCAAGAACGTTTTTCCTGCTATATAAAATTCTCTTTATAACGCCAAATTCGCATACCGCCATCCGCCACCCTGTTTTCAAAACAAACGTCCATTTTTAAGTGTCAGTTATCTCGTTATACCGCCACAGGTGCGTGCGGTCAGTGAAGCGCGGCTAATTGGTTGACGCTATCCCTGTTGTAAAGCATGCAAAGCCAGACAAGGTATACGCAATTAAATAATTAAATTAGAATTAAATGAACAAATAATTTTAACATGAACTGTTACAATGATGTTGTTCTGTTGTTTTGTTTATAAAATCATTTAGTCACGGTTTCGCCACTAAAGGTACGCCGAATACAATATTATTTTGATGATCTCTGCTTTAAACAATGCAAAGTTTGCCTAAAAATAATTATACGGTATAAATTGTGAACGTTTCACTAACAATGATGCCATAAACAATAAATTTATTCAAGAAACCATTTTACGTACTGTCAGCAATATATCACGACGATCGACCCAGCATTTTTTTTTCATTATCAGACGTGCCGATTTACATGTACATAGATGCACATGTACTTGTCTTTATTTCATAACTGCACATTTTGTTTTAAAGAAATTGTACATAAAAAATTACTTGAAGTATTTTAAAATTTAGAAATATGTTTTATATACATGTACATGTAATTATAAGAATAGAAACGCTTTATGGTATTTCTAAGAACGGTAACTCTACTTCTTGTTTCCTAAAAGATGAGAAATTCAATTCATCGCCAAACTCGTTATACCGCCATGATTTCTAAATCACAAAAGGTGGCGGTTTATCGAGAATTAACTGTAATTGTTTACGAACCTGAACTGGCAAAGAGACATGGGAAAATTCCTCAATGTTGTTCTTCTCTTGTAGTTGTTTTCCCATTTCTTCTATCATTTCATTTAAAACTGTAAACAACACCATTGTAATTTTTACCATCACAGTCCTTGAGACTTTCTACATTCCCATTTTTTTTTCTTTTGCCCACCATTTGTACACAACTTTCTACTAAGAGAGCATTTCATGCTCACTCATATTGCATTATGCCATGCCCTCGCCATTCATTCAGACTCACTCTACATTCAGTTTTCACTGTTATTAAGAATTCTGAAGTAAACTTTTCTGATATTTTAATAAAGTGCACTGCTTCTGTGGCACACGTTTCATCCATTAGATATTGTTAGATTATCATAAACAGATTGCAAGGAAGAAATCATATTATCCTTGAAACAAAAGATTTCTGTTTTTTCCCCATTTCTTATACTTGATGCCAATCTCCCAAACTGTAGTTATTAATAAATACATTAAAACTATGTCCATAGGACATCAATGTCTTACTCAGGATTCACCTATAATATGATATCAAATTTGTCATAGTGTCCAAAGATTATTTAATCTTTTCACCTTAGACCTTTCCCTCCTTTACCCCTTAATGACGACTTTTGACGCCTAGCCCCCAACCCTTAATGACGACTTTTGAGGCATGTGTATTTCATTGTTGATTTGACTTGAAATTACCGCTTGTATACTAATTATTTGAGCACAGGTGGCCACCTGCAGGTTAACAATAGATGATTGCATCATACTACAGTTAGAAATCACGTGATTTACCTGTGTAAACAAACAAAGGAATCTTGGAAAGTCCCACCAAAATTCAAAATGGCGGACTGTTACATACGATGTTTTTTGAGCATATAACTCAGTCAATAGGCAATATTTTCTCATCCAGTAAAGCATTACATGAAATTCAAGCTATAAGCTTCCTATTTCTTGAAAGGTTTGAAAATTAAAATGATTTATTTGTGTTTTATACTGCAACATAACTTACGAAATTTTTGTGAAGTTCGGGACCGCGCAGTGCTGATTTTGTTACCTGTTTCTCACAAATTCAGAACATACCTTCCATTTTACACATATTTATAAATGTAAAGGTGTAGAAAAGAATAATTTTAATAGAATTGGGTCATTAAAGTGTCCAAAAACGTTCAGAAATCAATTTTTAGGACGCAAGTCTGAAAATTTGTCGGCGAGATTGACATTGAAGAAGCACTACAATTTATCGATTTCTGAGGAATTAAACTTATAAAATTGATGATAAATAATAATTTAACCATCAATTATATCATCACACATATTTTCTAATTATTTATACAGAAAATTTTGGCTTATTAAAGCCGTTTTACATGTTGAAAATATCTATTTTTCTATTTTCACCTGAATTATTTTTTAACAGAAAACTACGATCGAAATTATGTAAATAGATTTGAAAAATTTAATTTATTACGAATCCAGTGATATATAATACATAGTATAAATGAAATATTTTGACCCTTCTTTGTTTAATTTTAAACTGCACTCCAATTCATCTAAAACGCTCTAAGGGGCAGCCAGGCAAACACTCTAGGGATATGGCCAGTGCGTCAAATCGTGGAATTAAGGGGTAAAGAGTTAAATCTTTAATCTAAATTTTGATAAAAATAGCTTACTTTCTTTGCATAAAAACAAGAGATGTTTGTAAAACACTTATGCCACCCTCCCCCAAACTTTTCTAAGCCCAAGGGGCTCTGTCCAAAATGGCCTGATTGTACCCAAAACAGCACTTGATCTAGATGTTCTTATGATAAATCTGTATATCAAATTTCATTTTAATACGTGCAACCTCTGCGAAGAAAATGAACAAACTGCAAATTATTGGAATTTTTCTAAATCCAAGGGGCATTACTCTGTCCGAAATATACCGATCATACCCAAAACACACCTTGGCCTAGATATTGTTATGATAAATTTGTATACCAAATTTTATTTCAATATGTGCAACCTCTGTGAAGAAAATGAACGATAACTGCTAATTTTTGGAATTTTTCTAAGTCATAAGGGGTATAACTCTGTCCAAAATGGTCAGATTGTACCCAAAACAATCTGTATACAAAATTTTATTTCAATATATGCAACCTCTGCAAAGAAAATGAATGGAGAATGGTGGACCCACACAGACCGACAGACCGCAGCAAAGCAATATGCCCTCCCTTCTTGTAATGTCAAAGGTCATTGGTATTTTAAAAATTTCTTTGAAACTGAGGAAGTTCAAATTTAAGAAAAGTGAGGTCAAAGTAAAAGGAAAGGTCAAGGAAAAATTCAATGGCACTCATCAAAATTTATCAAATAATGAAATTCTCATACATTATCTGGATGCGTTTCTCATAACTGAGCTAACAATAAATTTGAGAAAATTGAAGATAAGGTAAAAGACAAGATTAGGGTTAAAATGTTGATGCAATTGAATACTGTAAAATCACTTATTTTTGAGGGGTCAAATTTTCATGGTTTGAGGAAAATATATTAGTTCATGAGGATTTGATTTCATGGGTTCATGGGGATTTTATTTCGTGGTTGAAGAATTGTTCAGTAGTAATATATGTGAAAAATTGCATTTCACGGTGTACATAAATTCATGGGTGTCCTCATTCCCTGAAAACCACAAAAATTACCCCCCCCCAAAAAAAAAAAATTATTGATTTCACAGTAGCTTAAAGGGGCTGGGTGGTTGTAGCCATTTTTAGACTATTTTGATCTCCTTTAGAAGAGCTCAATATAAAGATATAATAAAATGATCAAATTTTAAAACTAAAATTTATGAAATTTTTCTTTGCCAAATGATAGTTGACAGCTTAAGATATCATATCCCAAAATTTAAGTTATATCTGGTGGTTAATAAAAACATAGGTAATCAGAGATTACAGAGCTCACCTCAACGTGTGTTGTCTTTAAGTAAGGCAAATTAAGTCTTACAATTAACCAACAAAAAGTGACATCCAAAAATGCAAAATTTATGCAAATTTGATACTTTGGAATAGACCTATATAAAAACTAAAAACTAGTTCTTCATCATGAAAATGTAATTAAAATCCAGCATCTGAAGCAAGATTGAGAGTTTTCATCCCTTGATGCATCATTTGTGCAACTGGTTTATATAAGCCTTATAGTTTCTTGGTGATAGACTTGCACCCATAACTTTTACGAGGTCTATTATCTGGAAAATGTATGTCGAATTCAGCATCTGAAGTAAGTCCATTAGTGTGCATCCTAAGATGTATCATCCATGCAAGTTTGGTCAACATAGGGCTTAAAGTTACTTGCAAATGAAACCTGTATAAAAAAATTAACCTTTCCACTAATCCAGAAAATGTAGGTCAGATTCAGCATCCGAAGCCAGCCTAGTAGAATGCACCCTTAGATGTACCATCCATGCAAGTTTGGTCATTATAGGGCTCAAAGTTACTTGGAAATGAATCCTGCACCATAAACTTTAACCTATTTACTCGTCCAGAAAATGTAGGTCAGATTCAGCATCCGAAGCAAGTCTGGTAGTATGCATCCTAAGATGTACCATCCATGCGATTTAGTCGTTATAGGGTTCATAGTACTGTACCTTGGAAATGAAACCTGCACCCAAAATTTTAACCTGTTCACTCAACCGGAAAATGTAGGTCAGATTCAGCATCCGAAGCAGGTCTTGTAATATGCATCCTAAGATGTACCATCCATGCAAGTTTGGTCATTATATGTCTCATAGTAACTTGGAAATGAAACCTGCACCAAAAACTTTAACCTGTTCACTCAACCGGAAAATGTAGGTCAGATTCAGCATCCGAAGCAAGGCTGGTAGTATGCATCCTAAGATGTATCATCCATGTAAGTTTGGTCATTATATGTCTCATAGTAACTTGGAAATGAAACCTGCACCAAAAACTTTAACCTGTTCACTCAACCGGAAAATGTAGGTCAGATTCAGCATCCGAAGCAAGTCTGGTAGTATGCATCCTAAGATGTACCATCCATGCAAGTTTGGTCATTATAGGGCTCAAAGTATCTTCAAAATGAAACCATCACCAAAAACTTTAACCTGTTCACTCAACCGGAAAATGTAGGTCAGATTCAGCATCCGAAGAAAGGCTGGTAGTATGCATCCTAAGATGTATCATCCATGTAAGTTTGGTCAACATAGGGCTTATAGTTACTCGGAAATGAGACCTACACCAAAAACTGCACCAAAAATGTTAACCTGCACCAAAAACATTAACCTGGTCATTCCTTTGCTGAAATTGCAGCATCTGAAACTTTGACTGGTACAATGAAACACACTAGCAACATCTTCCATGCATGTCTAATCAATATAGGACATAGAAGTACTTAAAAAGAAAACTGCTCCAAAAAACTTAACCTTAACCCGGGACGCCGACACCGACGCCGACGGTATCACATAAGCTCCCCCCAACTTCGTTGAGGTGAGCTAAAAATGATTTGTTGACCCCTAGCCTCCTTAAATCAATATCGTAGTATTGCCCAGTGGTTCTGAAGAAGAAAATATGTCACCAAGGTGACCCAACAGTGCATTAAGATATTTCCACTGAAGATCATTACCTGCAGCTTTGGCCGTTAGCTTCTGAAACATATACTTGAAGTTTTTATTCAGATCCTTTAGATTTTCACTGTCCTCTTTGGATAAGTTGTTCAATGGATCATACCATTTAATGGTGCAATTCTTGCCTTTACTTTGCCACTTAATATTATCCAAGTTTCCAATGGAGGCTACCACATCACCAGCATTTGTTCTTAATCTATACTTTTTGGAAGGAGTTGTCCTAAAAAATAAAACTTATTAGTCCTCTTGCTTATTAAGCAGTTACAGCAAAATATTTTACTGTTTAACCCAGTTCCTCACCCTAACCCTAATGCTAACCCTAACCCTTGCAGCCTAACCCTTGGACTAACCCTAACCCTACACTAAGTCGATTCAATAAGCTAATATCAACATGCAGTAAATATATATTATTATAACAGTAACTTGATCCGAAGGGTCATATCACGTCGAGTTGACAGGCGCGGATCATCAGATCTAACGAGACGCGAAGCGTCGAGTTTGATCTGATGATCCGCGCCTGTCAACGAGACGTGATACGGCTCTTCGGATCAAGTTACTGTTATAATGATAAATTTATTATATACCCCCTTATAACTAGCTAGATATAGCAAAATAAAACTTTAGAGATCAATTGTATAATATTTATCCATAAAACAAAGCATAAAACAAGGGACTCTTTAACGCACAAGAAAAATAACGTCATGTTTTTGCGTACTACGTCATCAGTTTCAGAGAGTGGTGATATGGATTCAGAAAACCACAGTGTGGTGATCCGGAAAGTCGGATCACGACGTCACGTGATTGCGTTAATTCTACAGTAAAATTGAGTGATACACATTAGGTATATAATCATAATTATTATCATAAATGTGCAGTCATTCCAATATACTGATGAGATGCTGCTTATTATAAACACTTTTATCTAGTCTTGCTGACAGGATGGACAGATTTTGACAAGTCTGAACATTTTGTTGACTTCACATCCACAACTGTCCATAATGACCAGATTTCTTGTTCAATCAATCCTATATTTTCTGTACAGTTGGCTAAAAATTTTATTTTGTCTAATGGTTCAACTCTTTGGTTAGTTAACTTTCAATTGCTTTACGGACCTTCATCATCATCTATAAAATCCAGTTTAACAGGGCCTTCTCATTCCTTTTTGGTATGATGAGCACTTACTGTAAAATCACATATTTTCATGGGGTCAAATTTTCATGGTTTGAGGAAAAAGTATGGGTTCATGGGGATTTGATTTCTTGGATGAAGAATTGTTTACTAGTTATGTAACATTTTGGTGGACGATTTCATAGGTCTCTTCATACCTCGAAAACAATGAAAATTAAACCCCCATGAAAATTTGTGATTTCACAGTATTGCTCATAAATTAATATTTGAATGTAATATTTATTCCTAATTTTCTTACAAGACAAAGTTGCAAATCAATGTGACAGAATCGTTGAAATGGATTTTCAAAAAGCTCACTATTGCTTTCAGCTTAGGTAAGGTAACAATGTTAACATGTTAGTGTCTGACCTACAGAAGACAATGAACAAGAACAGATAGTGACTCAGGTGACCCAACAAAGGGTATACCCAGCAGAGGCTGGTTAAGTCTTACCCAACTGGTGAAAAACTTGCAGGTGAAAAAGGCACAACTGGACTACGAATATTATTCTGAAATCTCTTTATTAGGATTTTCAGGTGTCAGTTGTCTTTTCTGAGCTGCTGTCCCCTGTTAAAGAAAAAAAAAAATTTAAAAGGTGATTTTAATTATAGCAACATTGTATGTTTAAATCTGATAAGCTGATACACAGTATTCCACATCTTAGTGAAGTGTACTTGTGCATTATGTCCTTTTGAAATCAGAACTGTGGTATATTTTAAATAATTTCAGTCTCATTTCCATTTCACAAAATTTTTAAAGCATTATGCCTGCAGGTGTAACATTTCTCAGGTTATTCCATTTTTTTCTGTTTAGCATTCTACGAAAGAAAGTATATGGGTATGAGTAAAATTTTTATAGGATAAAGATCAGGTATATTTCCACTCCTCAAGTGCAATGTAAAGTGAAACTAGATACTACTTATGAGAGGGAAAATTTGCCATGAAACAAAGAAATTTATAAAAGTAGAGCATGTTTGTCCAACTGAAACAAAATTACAGCAACAGAAGATGATTTCAGTGATGGTAATATTAAAAGTAAGGAAGAAGAAATAGATACAACTAAAGAATAGGTGATATTCATCCTGAAGTTAAACCTGGTGATGAAGACGACTGCATGAATATTTTCAAATCTATTAAGATTATTTGAGGAAGGTGTTTCATGGATTCCAAAATGACTGTGGGACAGAGAATTGCACAGCTAGTAGATATTGGGAGATTGCAGGTGCTACCAAAGAACACTCACAGAAAGAATTAAATAAGGACAGACGAAATGTGGGACAGACTTGTCTAGGAACATGAATGCAAGACAAGAGTGTACTGCTCAAGTAGAGATAATCTCACACAAAACTAAGCACTTATATGGCATTGTAGGGTTTCTAAAACAAAAAAAGGCTCACAGGCCTTATAGGTCACCTGAGCATCATGTAACAACTTTCCAACAATTGAATTTGATTCTTGATTTAAACCAGAGTGTATGACACATACAATTTTAAGAGACGATTGCTCATCATAACCTTCACTTTCCCTATTATATCCCTGACCCCACGGGCCTTGAAATTCACAATTCTGGTAGAAAGACCCTTGCTCATCATAGCTATGCATGAAGTTAGTATATTTAAAAACCCTGGAGATTTTCAGATTGATTGATTGTGTGCTGTTTTATGTCCCTCTCAAGAATTTTTTCACTCATATGGAGATGCCACCACTTGCAAGTGGAGAGCTGAAAATATATGCCTTTACTTGGCACTAATGGCCATTGAGCAATGAGGGATTTTTTTCGTGTCAGTACCTACTGGGACTTTGGTTTATACCATCTCATCCAAAGGACCAGTCTCCACGTCACACAGTGGGATTCAAACTGTAATGTAAGGATAAACACCTTACTCTGCGACATCTAATGAATACATTCTTACCACTGCGACACGTGGGCGAAAAAAGATTTTGGAGAATTAATGCATGTTCACTTTATAATCAATAGAGCCTTGTCCAAACACCAGAACCACTGACCCAGGGGCCATAATATTCACAATTTCAAAGATGCACCTTTGCTTATCATAACTTCATATGTAGATGGTTTGTTTCATACCCAGGAGCAGCAGAGCTGAAAATTTTCAAAGAATTAATGCATCTTCACTAAATAATCAATAGAGCCCCTCCCTAACACCATGTTAATAATTGACCCTGGGGCCATGAAATTCACAAGAGACATCTTTGCATAATATAACTTTGATTAAAGTTTGTTTCATACCCAGGAGTAGAGATGAAAATTTTCAAAGAATTAATGCATTAATTTTCACTAAATAATCAATAGAGCCCCACCCTAACACCAGAACCCCTGACCCTGGGTCCACAAAAGTAAGAATTTTCAAAGAGGCACTCTTGCTCTCATCACAACTATGTATGTAGTTAGTTAGTTAAAAACCCAAAAGCAGAGATTTTCAAAGAAGTTACCCATTTTCACTATATAAAAACATATTTTTTTTAACACCAGACTCAGAACCCTGTGGCCATAAAATTTGCAATTTGGAAGAGACACCCTTGTCATCATAACTATACATTAATTTTGTTTAATACCCAGGAGCAGAGAAGAAGATTTTCAAAGAAATAATGCATTTTCACTATATAATCTATTTAGTCCCACCCTATCACTAGAACCCTGGACTCAGGAAGCCATGAATTTCACAACTTTGGTACAATATTACAATCATGCCAACAGTTTGACAGCCTGATGTCTAGGAGTGAAGATGAAAATTTCTTAAGATTGCATTGAGTGACTCTTTGACCTAAAAATACAATATCCTAGGATAATTCTGAAAAAGCTCAAGAAGTTTTTGCAGAGGATCCCTAATTAGACTTATTTTAATTGAAGTGCATACTATAATTTTATTAGTTGTGTGAAACTTGTATAGACCTGAGACTGTAACATACCTTTGATGAAGGTGTTCCCCCGTAGGTGTTGTACAAATTTTCAGCATCATGAATGTTAACACTGTAAAAGAACAAAAGGTCTATGGATTACAAAGCTCATGATTAACCTTAGTGGTTATTTTACCTCTTTATTTCCATCACACTGTGGCCTAAATCAAGGGATTATGCATTTCAAACTATACAATTTACTTTAATCCCTGAAAATTACTGGATGCTTCAATACCGTATAATCTGTATATACCGCCCCGGGCGCTTAGAAAATTGCAAAAGGGGTGCGGTTATTTTAGTATTCTCTTTATAATATTTAATGTCATATTTTAACTTCAAAAAATCTTTGAAAAAAGAAATAAATTCAAAGAACCACTAAAATAATGTTTAACTTTACTTTAAGTGAAGATAATCCACCCAAATTAAGCTAAATGATTCATTTTCTACCGAGATTGGATTATATACAGGTTTCATTTTCAATTTCTTCAAATTTTGGCAGACTTGGAATATCACGATCCTAGATGATTTTAAGTGGGAGGAGCAGTTCTGTTTCCTGGACAATTGAAAAAGACATAAGGGGGGTCTCATAGGTGGCAGGGGCGGTTAATAGGGATTATACGGTATATATATGATCTCTTGACATTGCCTTTTATATTTTTTATGTCTTAATTATAAAAACTACAAATATATCACTGTGACTAAAAACGATTTGCTAGGTTGAAGGAAATACTTTTATCAAATATATGTACCTTACAGCCCTTAAATTGAACCGCTATTTGATCTTTGTCCAAGTTTGGTTAAAATTAGCACCAGTGGATTTTGCTGTCAGGAGCATTGAAAATGTGAAAAGTTTACTTGTGGAAATGATGTAAATACAATGGGTAATCAAATCAAGAGTCCCTTGTGAACTTGTCACTGAAATATAAAAGACAAACCTGTCAAAGAATGGACATGGCATTAAGAGATGATGGAATATGTTTAATATTAAGCAGTTGGATGGTAAATGGCACAGGCAATTCATTTTCTAGACTTATTATTTTCTGATTTTGAACTGCCTTTCCTAAACAAATAAGCATAACAGCAGGGTGACTTGTATCTTTGAACATTAGATGGACTGTTGTGAATTACCACACATTGCACAAATTTTAAAAAGAGATTTTTATCATTTAGATAAATGAGCTAAATACAAAAGAGCAGATTTCAAACAATAAATTCATTTTCATAATAATACTCCTGAAAAACACATCATACATGTATTATTTGTAGGGATGTCAAAATTGTCAATTAGGGCCCTTGCTGATAATAACTATAAAGGTAGTTCATCTGAATATATACCCAGAGACAGAGAAGAAAATTTTTAAATATTTAATGCATTATAACATGTATATATCTTCACTCTTTTGTGAAGCAGTATATACGTTTTATGTCATTATTTTGGAATAAAATTTCATGTACAGTTTTGTAAATGCACTTTAATCATATTCTTAAAATATTTTTAAAATGTCTGAAGAGTTTATATCCAAAATGTAATTAAAAAATTCCCCCCAAAAGTTCCAGATTACTAGTAATTAATCATCTTACCAAATTTAAGTATACACTGATAACCCTACAGATTTATACCACACATAATAATTATCTAATGGAAAAACATTAAAAGCAATTACTTTTGGTTAATTAATTTCCTGATAATGACTTTAAATGTATACATAAACAAAAATGTGTCCTTTCAACAATACAAACTAATTCCAAATGGACGCTGTTATACCTCTAATTAAATGATCAAATAAAGAATTTATATTATTTTAATAGACTCATTTTTCACACCTTTAAGGTAATCCAAGGGGAGTGTCTTTTGATTTTGTTTTAAATAAAATCTTATTATTGGTCAACGACTAGAATTTGATTCAATTTCTGATAAAACTTCAGTTTTTGCCAGATATTTTTTTCTTTTTGATGCTTGTATACTTAAAATCCGAATATTCGAATCATGAATTTATATTCGAATATCAACTCATCGAATGAATATTCGAATATTCGAATATTCGTTGACATCCCTAATTATTTGTAGTTAATCATTCTGTACACAAAAACAGTTCAGTGGGATCATTGTTTTACTTGTCAATGAGAGAGAATGGAATACTTGATATTACATGTACAAACAATTTAGAATTATTATTCCCTATATTCTCATAAAATTTTAACAAAATGTGGGGAGTTATTCTACAATACTGTAGATCACTAAATTATCGCGACACCTTATTTTCGCGATATAGTCATTGACTCTTGATAAGCGAGACAAAATTTTCACGAATTGTGGTTCTTGCTCTATATTATCCTAAGGAATACTATTATACCCGAGAATTAAATTTTCGCGAGCTCGCTGTCTCGCGTAATTATGCGAAAATAAAGTTCTCGCAAATAAAAAGTGATTTACAGTATATGTTCATGTACACATCACATTGTTTATTCTTTAGACTTATCTTTAATATTAGAAAATACAGATTATAAAGTCACTTTTGCAAATATTTGGCAACATAAATTTTCTTTAATTAATCCAGAAACAGAACGAACAGAACACTCAACTCCATAAAAAGACAACAACCAAATCTAAATTAATTAGCTTCAATGACCAGCAGTACTATTAAAAGAACACTAGAGACTAGTAATTTAACCTTGGTGGCTGAAGTTCTTATTCTTCCTATGTTTTTCTACATTGCCAACTTAGAAAAAAAATTAAAAGTGCTATTTTATTTATATTTCTCTACAAGGATATCAACATGACTACTGAAGCTACATGTATAAATGTAAGTCTTGTTATTAATACACTGGAGATGCTAGTGAATGACCTGTGCATTGGACACTGAATCTTAAATAGTTTATTCATCACATTATGCTTACTAAAGGTGAGAAAATTCACAACGCAAGAAATTTGTTTTAATCTTTTAAAATTCATTTCCAAGAATACATGTAGCTAGCTGATACTTGTAAATTACATGTATTTATTGTAGTTTTAAAAAGACACCAGCATAAAACTCTTGTGAAACACAGCACACAAAATGTTTATCTTTTATGAATGAACTATAGTTACAGTAACAACTATGGAAATGGATCTACAAAGAAATAAAAAAGAACTTTGAAAATTAATTTCTTCAATAATCTAATGATCTAGATCTTTCTTTTTTTTTCTAAGTTACTGGCAACTAACAAGACACTAATTAACTATATGAAATACAATTTATATAGGGTACACTTGTATAGACTGTTTACGTACTCATACTTCCTTTGAGGGTTTCGTGACTTCCAGAACTACTGACACTACCCAGGGATTTCCTCACTATACTACCCACTCTGTTTCTGAAGTCTGTCTCCACCTCAGAAAACGTGATGTCCTGATTTCCACCTACAAGTACAGTTTGTATACTTTATATAGAATGATGCGCATAAATATTCTTGATTGTAAAAAAAGAAAACTTATTGACTTAATGTATTACTACTATAAAAAAAAACCCATACATTTATAAAATAAACCAACATTTTGATGAACATATTTTAAAAGTGCCCAAAACTACATGAAGTAACAAATAGTCTTGCTGAGAAATGTTGAACCTCTTTTTCTTAATCTAGACAACTATATGTAAATATACAGGGGATACTGACCGTTATTTTCTTTTTTCTCTTTGACTTTGGGTGTATTAGGCAGAGTAAATCGTAAGCTGCTCTTATCTTTACGAGCTTTGTCGTGATCCTGCTCGGATTCACCGTTGGACACAGGATGACTGAGCGACTTCAGTTCTTCTCGGGACATAGAGTTGTAGCCCTTGTCTGACACCCCACCTGTAATGATTCGATCACTTAATACTAGGCAAACTTTGCTACTTTACGTTAACCCTAATTAAGATATCATTATTTAACAGACATAACAATCTACAGGTAAATCAAGTTTATACAGTTAATGAAAATCAACATTAACATTTTCCTTGAAACAGAGAATATAATCTAAACAACAGAATTTCTTTTAATGATAAACTAAAAGCAGTAACATATTTAAAATTTACAAATAAAGATTCTATTAGGAGGATATGAAGCAATTTATATTATTCAAACCAGTGTTTTCATAAAAACTCTTCAAAATTAAACCAGTAGAGCCATTACTGTTGTACTATATAAGGGAGATAACTTGTGTACCTGTACTACTGCTTTCCTCTTTAGCTGTTGGTGTGACTTTACTGATCTGACTAGAATCACTGAATATGTCTGACTTCAGCATGATTGTCAAAGATACATATAAGTCTGTGTGGTCCTCCAGGAAACTGTTAAACTTTGATCTTTTATTGTCATAATCACTCCCAGAGTTATGATTTGAATGGACATGCTCTATACGTTGCAGCATGGCTTTCGAAACTGAGAGCTCCAATAATCACGTTTTTCTTGTCTCAGAGGATGGTTTCTTTAGAAGGCCAGTTCCCTCAGATTTTTGAAAAGAATTAACACGCCACTAGTTTTTTTTTTTGAAAATTTTTACACATGTACAGAAAGAAAAATTAGGCCCTGCATGTAAATAATTTCAATCCAGCTAAATTAAAATTTTGTGTGAACTTTTAGAATTTGATTATACTGTGTACCTTTATTCTATACATAATTTATTACATTATACTATGTTGTATACTGGTGATGTTTGTTCTTAAAAGGCTCTATGAATTTCCACAACAAACCTTGTTGTAGTAGCCATAAGTAATGGCATTAGGCTGTACATTGGCTCTCTAAGATTTGAAAATGCAATCCATCAGCTGCTATTCTGCATCCAAATTATAGGTAACGCATCACACTGTAGAACATAAAAAGCAGAGATTATGTACTGTAAAAACACCACCCATAAAATAATACAACATTTATATATTTCAGGGCAAAATTTAAAACAAAAGGTCCAGGCCCACATCAACGAATGTCGTGAGCATTTATATTTTAAAAGCAAAGTCACACAATTAAGTACAAAAAGTGTACATTCCAGAAATGAAAATATTTAAGCAATTAACTAGGACTAGGATGACACAGAACCTACATAAAAAATTATCAAAATAGTTGTTCATGAAAATGTAATTAAAATAAGTAATCAGAGATTTGAGAGTTTTCATCTCCTGATGCAACATTTGTGCAAGTTTGGCAAAGTCACACAATGTTATATAAGCCAAAAAGTGTACATTCCAGAAATGAAAATTTTAAGCAATTTTGAAAAAATGTACATCGAAATAGACATACATAAAAAATTTAAACTAGTGTGCTCATGAAAATGTAATTAAAATTAAGTTGAAGCAAATTTGAGAGTTTTAATCTGGAAATGATACATTTGTCACAAGTTTTTTGGTTTATACAATGTTATATAAGCCTTCAAGTTCGAAGCAAGCCTGGTAGTATGCATCCTTAGATGTATCATCCATGCAAGTTTGGTCAACATAGGGTTTATAGTTACTTGGAAATGAAACCTGCACCAAAAACTTTAACCTGTTCACTCAACCAGAAAATGTAGGTCAGATTCAGCATCTGAAGCAAGCCCGGTAGTATGCATCCTTAGATGTATCATCCGTGCAAGTTTGGTCATTAAAGAAGTCATAGTTACTTGGAAATGAATTATGCATCAAAAACTTTAACCTGTTCACTCAACCGGAAAATGTACATTGTAGATCAGATTCAGCATTCGAAGCAAGCCTGATAGTATGCATCCTTAGAAGTATCATCCATGCAAGTTTGGTCAACATAGGGCTTATAGTAACTTTGAAATAAAACCTGCCCAAAAAAATTTAACCTGTTCACTCAACCGGAAAATGTAGGTCAGATTCAGCATCTGAAGCAAGCCTGATAGTATGCATCCTTAGATGTATCATCCATGCAAGTTTGGTCAACATAGGGCTTATAGTTACTTGGAAATGAAACCTGCACCAAAAACTTTAACCTGTTCACTCAACCGGAAAATGTAGGTCAGATTCAGCATCCAAAGCAAGCCTGGTAGTATGCATCCTTAGATGTATCATCCATGCAAGTTTGGTCAACATAGGGCTTATAGTTACTTGGAAATGAAACCTGCACAAAAAAATTTAACCTGTTCACTCAACCGGAAAATGTAGGTCAGATTCAGCATCTGAAGCAAGCCTGATAGTATGCATCCTTAGATGTATCATCCGTGCAAGTTTGGTCAACATAGGGCTTATAGTTACTTGGAAATGAAACCTGCACCAAAAACTTTAACCTGTTCACTCATCCGGAAAATGTAGGTCAGATTCAGCATCCGAAGCAAGCCCAGTAGTATGCATCCTTAGATGTATCAACCATGCAAGTTTGGTCAACATAGGGCTTATAGTTACTTGGAAATGAAACCTGCACCAAACACTGCACCAAAAATGTTAACCTGCTCCAAAAACATTAACCTAGCCATTCCTTTGCTGAAATTGCAGCATCTGAAACTTTGACTGGTACAATGAAACACATTAGAAGCATCTTCCATGCATGTCTAATCAATATAGGACATAGAAGTACTTAAAAAGAAAACTGCTCCAAAAAACTTAACCTGGGACGCCAACGCCGACGCCGAGGGTATTACATAAGCTCCCCCAACTTCGTTGAGGTGAGCTAAAAATTGAGAAAATCAGCAGCCATAGGGAGCTAAAGTATAAAATTTCATTGCCAAAATTTCTTGAGATATCATCCGGAAATGAAAGTTTTACACACAGACAGGATGTATGAATTTGACCTCAAAATTATAGGGATCTTCCTCAGACCATAAGCTGGCTTGTTGAAAGGCTTGAATAACATCCTTTTTGAAGGATAAACACAATGATGAACTCCATGCAAAGGAGAATCAAGGTTGTGAAAAATGCGTGAGGGAGACATTGAAGATAATGAGCGTTTTTGATTTTTATTTTTGAAGGGTACTGTCACATATAAAATGACAATTTTGCTTCACTATACATGTAATTCATTATATTTGTTAAGTCATCAATATATTTTATAGTCTGACATGGGGGAATGAAAATCCCTTTCCTGTGTTAATTTGTTATAAGATCATTCGCTATAACTGCGTTTTACTGTATACTTTAATTAGCTAGCTGCAAGAATGTAGCCCTCTCCCCCCCCCTATTTTTTTTGGGGGGGGGAGGGCTACAACTCCTTAGGATCTACGTAATGTTGCAAGATTCCGGCTTCAATTATCAGTAAATGGCTATTTAATTAACATTTCTAACTCAAACTCCAAAAATGTACATGTAGTTATGCAAAGCATAAATCAATCCCAACATACACAGAACAATCCATATATCGGTTATTTTTCGTGTATGTCATGTACGTCAACACCACAACATGAATTTATCCGGTATGTTTACTGACCTTGAATAAAATTATTTTGGGACAGCCAATGAGACTATAGGGATCTCTAGGAGTGGATCTCTGTAGGAATTACCTTATTTAAGGCATAAATATTGCTGTTTACGAAAAAATTCACATGGAATAGTTTTATATATCAATGTTTAGTGATGCCATACAGCAGAAAAATTTGAAAAAAGTGTTTAAAAATCAAGTTTTAGAAATTATATATTTGCAAGATGTGAGGCGGGTTTTTACAATAAGTAATCAATGTTCTGAGACGTCCGGTGCAGAAAGATCGGTAGGTACAGCGTTATTTTCAAAGAACAAGCCATGAACAAGCGAGTTGAGCAGATGCCATTATGGAGCCTGCATACCTTTACTTTTTTTTTTTTTTTTTTTTTTTTTTTATGTTACGTTTTTACCACCCCAGTCATGTTATATTTGTCCTGATTATTTAATATTGTGTTATTAATATTGTATCATCTCATTTCTTAATTTGTCCGATGTGGGAATATCACCATACTATCAATAATGATGTTGTATAAACATGTTTGTATGTATTAACGTAGGGTCACCCGAATTTCCTCCATATAAACATTTGAACCATGCACATAATTTTATGTGCAAGACCCGTAACCCCCAATTCTTACCTGTATTATCTATGGCATCAATTACTAAGTCTTTTTCTTACATTTCCCTACCATTATCTCCCTATAATACACCCTTTTACGTTTAATTCCAAAGCTAGGCCAAGCGTTCATCTCTCCCAAATATGGCGCTAAACTGAGCGGTACTGCTCAGTTCGCGCGTGGATACATTCGGCCCTAGTGATCAAAAGGTATATATACAGCGGTTTTAGACCCAACGGTCACTTTTCGTCCCCAGCCCATACCGAAAAGTCACTTGGCCTTGGAAGCTTTAAAAAATAATTATTTGCTACTGGTTTGACTGGAAATTGATTATGGATAATCCGGATCCAGAAAGAATGGTAAATATTATTTAAGACTTTTAGACCCAATTATTTGTAAAAGCTTGAATTTGATGCCAATCCCCGGCAGATCCATACCCAATTGATTATTTGATGCCAATCCCCGGCAGATCCATACCCAATTGATTATTTGATGCCAATCCCCGGCAGATCCATACCCAATTGATTATTTGATGCCAATCCCCGGCAGATCCATACCCAATTGATTCATTGATTATAAATTCATCCGGTTGACCCATTTGATCCGGATAACCATTTATTTTCGGGTGACCCATAATTTATTATTGTTTAACTGATAATTACTTTATTGTTATTTTGTTATTCATTGTTTTCACCATAATAAATTTCATAAATTTACAACCTGACTTTTCATTTAGAATTAAAGGGTAAAATTCAGAAACAGGAGACCCACAATAACTTATTTTCATTGTAACAAACCCTGTACCAGGCAAAAACGTTACATTTACATATCAATAAGGTACGTACATATATTAAATTTATAAACCAAGACCCAAGTACCTGTGGGAAAGAGATAAATATAAACTGGTAAATATAATGAAACATCAAGAAATGTCTGATTCATTTCGATTACAAATTAAAATGATGTTTCCTTTTCAATTTGATAATCGACGTTGTTTTCCGTCTGATTCTGAACAGTTCAACAGGTCTGGTACAATCACTACATTTAACTACATAGCTTGATTTATAGGGCTGGGTATTGACCAGAAATTTCGTATTGTGATATATTGGAATATTTTTAACTGTATTGTGATATGTGTTGCATATTTTCAACGTTATTAAAATGGCATTTTCTCATGAAATTAACTTTAATTTACATGAAGATCATACATAACTATGATGAGTTAGCAAAAGGAAAAAACAAGAGGCCCATGGGCCACATCGCTCACCTGAGTAACTTGGGTGATGCAGTTCTTTACCCGATCCCCCCTCTTGTTATACCTATCATGTCCCACTACCCCCTTCCCTTTTATGATTTTAAAACTTTAGAATCTACACTACCCAAGGATGCTTCCATATAAGTTTCAGCT